AAAAATAAATATTCTAAAATTATAATTCAATAAAATTCTTTAAAAAGTGATGATTTACTCATTCAAAAACTTAAAATAGAAAAGAGAATCTTACAAACTATTATGGATTAGACAGTAAACTTTTTTTTTTACAGTATTATTTCATAAAACTTTGGTGTGATATGCAACTTTTCCGAATATTACCTATTTGCATTTTTTCCATACTCTTTCACATGAATTAAAGATTCATATCACACCAAAGATTTTTGAAAGAATACTTGTCGATAGGGCTTATTGTTTTATCAGTGTATTGTTATTAATATTTTATTTTGCTTTTCAAATTATTCATAGAAAACAGCAAATTTTAAAGAATTTTATTAAATTATAATTTTAAAATATTTATTTTTAAAAAAATTGAAATGATTATGAATAAGGTCTTGAAAATTATAAAACTGTTGATATAAATAGTATTTTTTAATATTTTAAAAATAAATAATTTAATCCAATTCTAATTAAAGCATATAATTGATAGAACTAACTCCGGATAAAGAATCTGATGATAAATAAATATTATTTTTTAATTATTATATAGCAAGCAAAAACGCTTTGTACAAACCCCAAAATAAAAGATCGCGAGGATCAGGAAAGTAATTTAGATAAGAATGATTTTCTTCAAATACAAATGATGAATTAGTACAATAATGTACTGGAATACGAAGATTGTATGCTTTTAATTGAAGAAAGAAAGGAAAAGAATTACGAATTACTAATATGATTAAAGAGTGAAATTTATAAAAATTTTTTTTTTTTATGAGCCTTTGCTTATTTGTCGAGGAATAGCAATCCAAAAAGAATTTTCGTCACATAAATCATCAACATACAAAAGACTTTTAGCAACCACCCCTAGCATCCTAGAGGTGCAGATATTTGGAATTTTTGAGATAGCTACCCCAGCAAAAATATCACGACGATTCGCATATTTGCCGTATAAGTAGAAATGCCGCATGCCTATAAATACCGTATGCCGTATAAGTGTTGTATGCTGTATTAATATCGTATGCCATCATTCACATTAATTTAGTGGGCGAATATAAAGATGATCTATTAATGATTAAAAAGTGATGCATGTTTACAAACACTTATTTACTACCTTTCTATTCGGTCAATGCGTATTACAATAATTTTTAATGATATAAAAAAGGCAAAAGTATACATTGTAATAAAGACAACACGTTTAAAGCATGGTGATCCCAACAAGTAAAAATAAGAATATTTCAACTTAGAACCCTAGGAATGCAATTGAACAGGATTTCATTCGACCAACAAAATTATTGTATAGGCGCGAAATAACGCTCGCAAGCATTATTTTGAACCCGAAATAACACGCATCATAATGTAACACAATTTTGCGATAAATGATATACAGTCAACATTCCATATCTGCACTCTCTACGTATACATATGTATTATTGTTATTGTTATTTATAATTTATTTATTTAAAAGGACGTAACTTGGTTAAGGTCAGTTACGACACTTATGTGCGGGGAAGGGGCACATAAGATTTACTAACTTAATTCTCTTTTTGTATATATTGATATACAGATATAACTTATAGTTTGTGTCTCTGGTATGCTAAAGTTTTCGATCCAGGACCATTTCGAATCGTATGTACAGTACATGTACAATAAACGGCGTACATGCATTACTGTTTGCAAACCCATTTTCGCACTGAGGTACGTAACAAGTTCCAAATATTATTTATACATAAGCTAAATACTGCATATAAAATACTAATTTATTATATATTGTACAACCACAGTAAATCCAATAAATATATCGTATCGGTACGTACGTACGAATTTTACGTCAAAATGGCAAATAAACCGAATTTCTCTGATTTTCAAAAATTGGCAGATATGAATGATCCAGACGGAACGTACAGGCTTGGTTATTGTTACGAATATGGAATTGAAGTC